CTGCGAAACGCATCAAGGTGGAGAAGGAAGACAAGGTGTCCGACGAGGTAGTCAACTCCTTGAGTGGCCCGTTCCTTGTCGGACTCAGCCCACATATGAGCATTCTTACCATGAACACCAAGTTAGTTATGAGTATCTCATGCGTGTATTTTCCATAGAACATGAACCATCCTGTTGTTCAGGTGCAAAGTGCAACTCAACAACATGGCTGAGCTGATCACAAATCAAGACGGCGATTGCCTCTACATGGTGTCCAAAGGCAAAAACCTGTTTCTGGCACATCGGGAATTGTTTCATGGCTCCAACTGACGTCAAGAATCAGCTTGGAGTGCTGTTCCTTTGAAGTTCTTTTGTCAATCAGCTTTGGACCCCCCAGAAGTCATAGGTTCTCATTTGGCTCTGGAGATTGGCGAGATGGGCAGGACACTTGGCCCATTGTGCAAAGCATGATTGGGCATCCGAATCATGAATCTGTTTGACCGATACCCGCTGTCCTGGGCCAATGACTTTTCTCCAGCACCCACTTGGCCTGACTAAGGAAGCGGATGATTGCATGCAGGACAGTGCAGGAAGGTGGTTCCGATTTGCAGCTGACCAGAACATGGTTGTTGTCATGGAGAAGACAAGGGACTTAGCTCAACACCTCCACGAGTTGAACTGCATTGAAAGCCCAACAGTGCTCTCCAATGTGCTCCAAGAATTTCAAGACTCTGGAGAAGTCAGAGACCTAAAAGTTCCTAAACGTATTGAAGCATATTGCCCCACCAAGCCACCAAGCAACCCATGCCAATGTTCCCATAATATTATCCCACTTTCCCGCTGGCGAGGTGAAGCTTGCGCTGTCCCACCATCACATCAGCGACGCTGGAGAGATCACCCCCGAGAAGCCATTAATCTTTGTCTTGGACCCGCCAGATGACGGAGAAAAGAAAAAAAAGAAAAAGAAAAAAGAAAAGGGACCAACCTTAGTCAGTTTTGGGGCCAAGCTTAGCGTAAGCAAGCTGAAGGGGGCAGGCAAACTTATGATTGGTTGGCGAATGAGGCAGGGGCATATGTTTTTGTTCCCATGTGCACCTTCACACAACATCAAAAGAACCAACCTTGTTTCACCAGAATCTGTAATCTAGTTTCCTGGCAGGGTGGACAACTCAACCGCTGGAGTGAAGAAGCTAGTTCCCATTCGACCGATTTCGTGCCTCACTGGCCTGGTCGATATTGACCAAGTCAACTTCCGGCTGATGTAGAGCACCTGAACCGTTTGATGAGAGCTGTAGTGGCACAATGTGGCACACACTTGTCTGGGGAAAAACACCAAAATACGGGTCTGATTATATTAGGTTTGTACAAAACATGTTGTCCACACAATAATACTTTCTCTACTGTGCAGTTTCCAAATATGTTGCAATTTGTTTCTGAACCAGAGTGGGGTAGTGTGTGCCTGTGCCCAAGTGGTAGAATTTTGGATTCTCAGCCCTGCTCCAAACTGCAATACCACTGAGTAATGACTCCAGTTACCTTTTATCAACCAAATTTGATGTTTTCAGGGTTAAGTTAAGCTTCCCACGTGCTTTCTGTGGCTATGCTCGCACTTCTTGCGGTGAAAACCGTGAAAACCCGATGTTGCAAGAACATCTAGACAAGTAAGCTCATGAATGTTTGGTGTTTGGAAGGGCCAAGGGAACACTGTAGTTTCATTGCCCCTTTCTGTTGCATAATGTAGATTATCAAGGTTCAAGCTGTTGAAGGTAGTTTGATTTGAGAGTCGAAGCAAATGTCCCAGTTGCGTAGGAAGGACACCTGTGCTCAGAGTGATGGGGCGGATTCAGATCTGGAAGTGGTGATCCCTTCGCCAACAGCAGTGTTCCGCCCACCAGACCCATGGCTCAACCAGATTTCACTGTGAACTTTGTGTGCACCCAAACAATCAAGTGGCTTCTTGACAAACAAACAAGTGCACCCTGAAAGTAGTCTTGTGCAAGGCCTTTAATCTCAACACTCTGGTGCCGCAGTCTTCGTCTCGCGCTGCCCCCGTGCAGCTTCGACCAAAGTCAGCGCCTCCAACACAGCCAACAACGCTCGACCGTCCTGGCCAAACAAATCCCGGAGGCAATTTAGAACTGCATGCTTCAAGTTTGAGTTTAAAACGTGTTTCTCAAACCTACTACATGTTTGATATTGGACAGGTGCTGCGTCGGGATCCAAGCGGCTATCCGATGAGACACTGCCAGGGAGGTTCTCTTCAGAATCATCACCCGATGGTCCCAAAACTGAGGAAAGAGTTACAACTGGTAAGCCAGCGGCAAAAACAAAGAAGCCAAAGAACCAGAAAAAAACCGAACAGGAAGATGATGAGTCGCCCCCCTCCCCAGAGCACAAACCCTTGGGTCATGGAAAGAAAGATGATGACAGTGATGATGAGCCAGGTTCAGGTTCAGACCCTGAAAATCTGGCTGATAGTTTGGGGATGAGAAAAGGTGGCAGGACCATGAAGCGACCGTCTCGCAATGATGGTGGAGCCAAGAAGAAACCTGCCAAAAAGGGGCGGCAGGCGTGGTTTTCATTTTGTGTTCTCCATCTTGGTCTTAGCTTCCAACCCTCCTTCAAAGTTGCAACCAGCCCTGCAGGCACCTTTTGAGTATATGATTGAAGGAATGCCTTGCCCTTAGTGCAATTAGATGGTCTGCAAAATGCAAAGCAAACTGAGCTGTTTGCAAGTTATTGTTTGGTGATGTTTTTGACCTGACCTGGTGCAAAACAAACATTTGCCTGACCTTTTACGGAGAATGATCTCACCAGTGGCGAACTGCCTGTAAAGAATCCAGGCTTTCTAGAGCTTCCAGAATGTGGAAACATGGGTCTTCCAGTTCAAAACCAGTCGGACGACAAGATGGTCAGTGAATTGAAATGAGTTGATCTCTTCACAATGCAAAACATACTCTTCCCATCCTAGGACACAGCAGGGCTCTGCTCGACCTTCCACAGATGAGGCCCATAGAAACCTTCTTAATGGTCAGAAAAAGTAAGGGCCACACGTCCCAACTTTTAGCTGGCCCAGGAGATGGTTTTGACATCCTTCGAGGTTCCTGACCCCACTCATGAGAGCCTTGGTCCAAACCTTGTTTCTATTGCCTGCCTGCCCGCCCCTTCACCCTCGTATCCGTCATTCAGCCTCCATCCAGGCTAGGTGATGCTCCTGCAACGGAGCCTGCAAGCGGTGACGGTGAGCTGCCCAAAGAGTGGCCGCAGTGGAGCCCAAGCTTGGTGAGAATTCACAATAGGCATTAGACTTGTTTGTGCTATTTTGTGCTCAAGCTTAGAGAGAATGTGCATTGGGTATTGGACTTGTTGGTATTCAAAAGCTTAGGAGTGACTTATACGGCGGCGATATTCCGGGGCAAGATTTCTATTGCCTCAATGTCATTCCTGGAGATGATACTTATCCCCCTTGCAATGCGACAGAGACTGAGAGCTGCCCCTCCGTGACCAAGATGATTGATGTTGCTTCTCCATCCCCAGTGGAATACCACCCGGACAACCAACTGGGGTTGGACCAAACTCCTTCCTACAAGGTGCCATGACTTCATCTTAGTACTAGACAATATAGACAATTACAGTATGTGCTAGCAACAAGTATATAGGCCAAAATCAGCCTACTGTGTTTTATATGTTTCTTGGAGGTATTTCATCGTGGTGAGCGATTCAATGCGGATGATTTGTCTGGCCTCAGTGAAAAGGACCAGCAGTGGTCAGCGTCCATCATGTTGACCTGAGCGTATGGCACACCATAGAACTACGCAACTTCAACGAGATGTCGTTTTCCTGTTCCCGGGACCAGGGTTGGTTCATGTTTTACATTGGGTTTGGCTTACATGGTTTGCCCAACTCAACTAACCAAATGAGTACAATTTGACATGCATACCGACCGTTGTGTAATTTGACATCAGGACTTATTCGGGGACAGTGTGGAAGCACTTGTGGATACATCGCTTCCAGATGATGGCAGTACAGCACTGCTCAATGAGCCTGTCACACCTGCTGATGACATGGACAGTCAGCCTGTTGAAGTAGTTGACAAGCGCAGCATTGAAGAGCAAACATTGCCCAGTCCTGACTCACCCCCAGATCCTTTGCCTGAAAGTAAAGAACCAATGTCCCCAGTCCCAGCCGCCTTGGCACGACCCCAACCCACTCCGGCCCGCGCAGCCCCGAAAGGAAAGGCGAAGGCGAAGGTAAAGGCAACAGCATCAGGCAGGTCCAGTGCCAAACCAAAGGCATCAGCCAAACGCACAGCAGCCAAACGTGCAGCACAGCCAAAGAACGCCCCCAAGCCCGACGCACATGCAAGAAAGCCCAAAGATGAGGTTGAGAAGAAACTTCATTCCGTTTCTATGGCTTGCCTAGAAACACTATACTTGCAACATCTTGCAACTATGTGTCTATGGATTATACAATGCACGTCAAATAATTATGATGCTATTTTCTCCATGTGCAGAATCTCAGGTTTATTCGACTGCCTGGTCTTCGGCAAAGCGAGCAGGTCTTTCGGATGGAGCGGCCAAGGAGGCTGCAAATTCAGAGAGGAAGAAGCACCCCAACTGCGACTCATTCAGTGTCAGCTTGAATCATGGTGTGTGTGTGTGCACCCACGGTTGCAGTGTGTTTTAAAGCTAAGGTGGATTCTGAATTGTGGGCCCAGGGATCACTGGAAAATCCAGGCCTTCATTGCTAGCTTTGGCGGACCTGATGAATCTTAGATTCATCATGACTCATCTATTTTGTACCAGCTGAATCTGAGCTCGGGACAGACAAGAACGAAGGCCTTGAATGGGAGTCGAGCCAAGAAAAATTGCTGCTGTGCCGTGCTCCGTGACAGAGTGACCCAGGCTCATGACAAAGGCTCACTTGTCAATTGGAAAAGGGTCGATATCAACTAGACTTCACTACATGTTTTCTGTTAAGGAATGGACCCTGAAGTCCCATCCCCGTCTCGGTCAAGGCACGCGTTGGTCAAGACGCGTTCCACCGGTACTTCTTGCGACCCCGTGAGCCGCGTGTCGGCGTAGGTGACTGGATGGCAGCCCGCCACATCGAAGAGTAGGTCACGAACCTCAGCGAGATCACGGCTCTGTTTGGTATTTTTTGGGTCCCCTGGGCCCGTTTGAGGGTGCTCAATTCCACACCGTTTGAATTTCGGGTGCCTACTCAACAGTAACATCTACGCGGATCGGTAACGTGGATGCATATTGGATGCATAATATTATACACACCCACGAAGCGACACGAAGCGCAAGTTCTTGAACAAATACAGGGTTGAGAGATGTTCCAAACCACTCAGTTTCTGGCATAAATGTCCAAATCATAATGGGAACAGTTTCCATATGCCCAATTCTGACATGAATACGCACCACTCTGCATTCTTAATCTGAATTCTGAACTGGACACCTCCACACCCGTTTTTCCAAACGCCTTGGCTAGGAAGCTGCACCTCTGCACACAAAATGGCCCAAATCTACACCTCAGTATGTTACCCTCCTGAAAAAGAACAAAATCTTTATCTTTTACACCTCGACACCCGCTTGTGGAGAAATCGTCAATGAATTCAAACCACTCCTTGCTTGTCATTGACACAAGCATCAGGAATGGCCGCTGGTTGTTGAGGAACACATACTTCCAGGTCTTCCATTGTCCATGTTTAGATTTTTGACACGTGAGCGCTCAGGTGTCGTCCCTGAGACGAAGGTCCCGCCTCTCCCAGCTGCTCCTTGAGCAGTTGCAGCACTGCGCGGTATTCAGCGCTGTGGCCACCGTCCTCTGCTTTGGGGTGGTGACTAGGCTGGAATGATATATTGGAACACACGGATGTATGCATCTGCGTGGTGCCCTAGAAGAATGCACAGTAATCTTGTGGATCGATAATTGCAACACACATCATGTCAATCATGTGTTCGACATGTTTGTTTCTTGGTTGCAACCTAGTGGGAATGAGTGGAAGGGGAAACATCCATCCACATTAGGATATGGTACTGCTCCGGAAAAATAACAAACCTGCAAATACCCGCGCTGATCTCTGTCAAATCTGTATAAAACTGTTCGTTGTATACGATCCTTTGATATCCTGTGCATGATTTGTCTTGCTTTCATGTCCAGGCAATCACTCTGCGTCGTGCTGCATAGGAGCCCCTAGCCGCAAGCACCCAGTGTTTATGCAGATGCATCATGATCCATCTAATTACTCTCACACCCGAACCCCTCAAGCAGTACTGGTGAAAGTGCTCATGCGAAGAGCGGAGGTTTGAGGGTCCAAGTTCGTACACCCCACACCCCCACACTGTGGGTCTGAACCGAGGTGAGTGGATTCCCGAACACAGCGGTGGCAGAACCCCTCAGATCCGTCAGTCGGGTGGCCATGAGACCTCGCCGGCCATTGAAGTTTAAGGTGCCACACAGCAAGAGTGGCCAGCGTCGCACAAAAGCACCGTTGTCTGAAATGTGGTCATTGGTTTGCTCCTTGAGGAAGTGCACCAAACCTGGGCCAGAACAGTAATATAGTATGGTGTAGCTGGTAAACTGATGAAAAGGCATCTATAATTCATATCCAACTGTGGTGCACACATAAAAATAGTACCTATAGTACGGTGCGTCTTCTGCTTAGCAAGGACCTATTTTATCATAGTATTGGTAAAACCCCTTGTAAAAGGTGAGGATAAGAAACAACAACTCGTAATTCGTAATGTACAATCTTGCAAACCCGGACTTTGCCACATCGCACAAAAGAGTTTGCACTGCACTTCTTCTTCATACGGGTCTGTATTTAAATAAATTGGGTCACCTCCTAAGACCTTCTGGAAGAAGGGAAATACACTCTAGTCTACCCATGGGGGTGTCTCCAGGGAGAGCAGTCCGTCGCCAAACGGGTTTTCCAAACGTGCATCTTGCTTCTTTATGATCAGAATTTGCTACCTATAGCACATGCATTCATTGTATGTCATGGTCATAATTATAATCAACTTTCAGAAATTGCTATTTTATAGTAATATGTTAATATCTTGATTTGTTCAGCATAACATAGCACTGAACTCGCAGCCGCGCGCTGCGAACGCTCGGTCCGTCAGGGTGACTTTGAAGCTGCTTGTGGCGTGTGGCTTGCGCAAAGGGTGCTGAGTCCTGAGGAAAGAATGGCTGTGCTGCCGCGGTTTTCCAACATTGGGATGGCGTCATCTGGAAAAGCCAAACCCACTAGAGTCAGGATGCAAAACCAGCAAACACCCCTGGTCAAAAAGTGTTTGGAGGGCGAGCTGGAACATGTTAGAATAACACACCATCAACTCAACTGAATTATATACCAGCTACTTGTTCTTCCATTTTTTGGAAGGCTACACCTCCAAACGAAGATAGACCTTGAGTTGGTAGGACCCCCAGCTCTTTGACGCCTCGAACTGGACACGACGTCCACATGGACGGACTGGAACCGGATATACCCTGAAGGTCTCGTAGCCGATTTCGCACGGGAGTCCTTGGGGCCCCAGGGCTTTAGAGCCTCACGCCTTTACACTTGTGGGGCTGAAGCAAACTGCAGCTGTAGATCCAAGACAGGTTGAAAGGTGGGGGCATGAAGATTGAAGCCTTCAAAGGCCTTTCCCTAGCTCAAGCGAAAATATGGACCTGAACCTACAAAGTCCCGTCGCCGTAACCTTTTCGGCACGTTCGGCCAAGTCCAGCATGAAACCACGTGTCAAGTCCCGTCGCGTTTGACCCGTTCACCACATGTCTTATCTGCACTGCACCCTGAATCATCCGGATGCCCTGCGCCTCGGAGTAAGTACTCTGCAAGTGTGTGGTGCACACGTGGAGGAATGGCCCTTTTGGCCCACATTGCACCTGCTGTGTGGCACAAACCAGGTGCAAACATGAAGTGACTCAAAACGGATCTCAAAACGGAAACTGTTCCCTGGAAAATTAACCAAACTGTCCACCTTCTTGTTTTGTTGGAAAACCACCCCCCTAAAATGGTTCAAGGCTGGTCAAGAACCTGCCGGGCTGTTGGTTTCTACATGTCTGAGCGAATTTGGGAACGACAACTGAGGGCCACCCGATGCTTGCATCCCACATGCCCACATACATTATAATATATATATATATATCAATATGTATATCTTAAACATTCTTAAACAATATATATACGATATACGTTTCGATGCCTGCCGGCCCAAAGAATATGGGTCGATCGGTGCTCCATCGACTCTCAGACCCAAACACCACCGATTGGTCTGGCCAAGCGAGTCCACAGACTCCAATCATCGTGAAGCTTGGACACCTGCTGCTACAAATCAGCTGATACATGCTGGTCCTGAGACCTATCATCTGCAATGGAACTGCTGAATAGATCTTAACACTTCAAATGGACCCGTGCTCTCCCCAGTCCAGTGCCAACCACTCCACCCCCGGTCCGTTGGGGACTTCGCTGGTCGGATTTGGGCATCCGGCCTTGGCGTAGAGCGCACCTTTGGCGCTGAAACGATCTAAATGCATGCCCGGATCGAAGGTCAGCTGTGACTTGTAGACCTCACCAGGTGGCGCTTTTTTTTTGAGTGGAAAAATAGACAAAGAACATCCTTTTGACCGGCGCCATGCATCCTACATCGCTGTGACCTCTCATCGGGTATCCCAACAACCTCCTTCAAAGCTCTCAAAGCTGCAGCCGCAGCGTTCAATGTGATTCCCAAATTGAAGGGGGAATAATAGTTATGTTAACTGTATTAGATTGTCTTGAGTCAAGCATAGACATCGTCAAACCATGTCAAACCTCCAGGGTGTTGTTCAGCAATGTTCCAGGAGACTCGGAGGGCCCGTCAGTTCAGCTGGGCAACAATCGGCAGCCGAGAAAGAATCAGAAGGCCGCCATCCACGATGAAACGGGGTCGAACATTGGTGGATGATCGATGAGAGTCCTGGACATGCCATGGCGTCCAAGCGACCGGAGTCCAACACACAGCTGGCTGGATGGAGGATAGAGCCCTGGCCACTGAAGGGGTTTCCAGCTGTTGAATCGTCCATGTTTCTAGAGCCTAGAGGGTGCCATATACGGTACCCTGGCCACTCTTTTTCTGGGAGTTCCAAAGCGGACCAAATGCCTGTGAAGTTAACCTGAAAACATCTTCCAAAGCCATGCCGCATGCCCCTCCATCCCCTTGTGGGAGATGGTCACCACTTCTTTCAGCACCACCGGCACCACCGTGTCCCCAGCGACGCCCCAAACCACCTCCGCGGTCCTTGAGACCAAAGCGCTGGGCCACGTGGATCAACCACTCACGCCTCCTGAGTCGAACCACGGCCCACGAGTCGGCACCGGCTGCCCTTGGATTTAGAGTGGTGACTTTGCGTGTTTGTTTTGTTTGGTTTGTTTTGTTTGGGGTCGGATCTTTCCTAGATTCGGTTGCTGTGCAAGATTTGTACCGCTGCAAGGATGCTTGACACAATCCTTTGGGCAATCACGAAGCTGATCTGCAACAGGCTTGACAAAGGATGGATATGTTTCAGGTTGTTTTTTTTAAACGTTTTTTTCCCCTACTGTTGTTGCTTTTGCTTCTGTTGGGAGTGCTTTACAAGCACTAGGAGCAGCAGAAAGGGCAGGGGACGAAGCACCAAAGCCAGCGTGACAGTGACAAAAGGAGGGAACAGAAAAGGGATTCCACTTACAGTACTAGTAGACTAGGGACTTCTTTGCGGTTGTCTTTAGCTTCACTGGTTTCGGGTTTCTTTGGGCTCGGTTTCTTGTCTTTGGGGTTTCTAGGCGTTCTTCCGGAAAAACCATCCCACTTAACGAAGGAGAAGTAGGAGTGAGGAAAGAGGAGAGAGGAACTATAATAGGGACTTCTCTGCGGTTGTCTTTGGGTTTCAGTGGTTTCGGGTTTCTTTGGGGCTAAGCAAAGTAGGAATCCACCTTTGTGGCAGCGTCAACGCAAAGAAAAAAGTAGTTGTGGTAACTGTGGTAAGACTCGTAGTGGGGTGGTCCGAGTGATAGAGGTATTGGAAATACTAGGGGTGGTGGACGGTAGTGGGAACTATTAAAAAAAAGCGGGAGGGGGTGCGGGGGAGGGCGCACAGCAGAAGCAAAAGCAAAAAGCAAAAGCAAAAGCAGAAGGAAAAGCAATAAGCAAAAGCAAAAAGCAAAAGCAAATGCAGAAGCAAAAGCAAAAGGCAAAAGCAGAAGCAAAAGCAAAAAGCAAAAGCAGAAGCAAAAAGCAGAAGCACAAAGCAAAAGCAAAAGCAACAAGCAAAAACAGTAGGGAAAAAAACACGAAAAACTAATCCGGAAAGCACCTGAAACAAATCCCAGAAAAATAGGGGTTCCCTTTACAAAACGCACGTATTTATGCGTTCTTGTGCCGTGCCGTCTGGGATGTGCCTTTAAGCGTGGATTTAAGCAAGCAAGCAAGCAAGCAAACAAGCAAGCAAGCAAGCCAGCCAGCCACCCAGCAAGCAAAAAAGCAAACATTAATAAAGCAAACAACAAAAACAGCAATAACGCAAGCAAAAAACGCGTGCAACAAAGGAAGCAAAACAACAAGCAAAAAGTGAAGCAACACAACAAGCAGAAAGGCAAACAAACAACAAGCCAAAAGGGCAAGCAAAAAGGGACATCAAAAAGGGCAAGCAAAAGGCAAGGCAAGGAAAGCAACGTAAGCTCGACAAGTTTTCAATAGGTTTCTGCCACCCCGTTCTGGGATACTTTGCTTCGTGGCCCAAGGTCCACTCCCGACGATCGGTTGCTCTTAGATGATCAGTTCGATGCCCAAAGCTGCCTCAAGGGGGGCCCACTGACATCTATGGGACATGAACGCATCAGAACTGAGCATTTAATTCTTAGCATTGCCTGACAAGCAGTCAAAGCACATTGAGCTTTGCTCGTGCAGGCACATTCCCCCAAATCAAGTCATGACTAGTCATGCAGGTACATCGCTCATGGACCTCCCAAAACCTCCAGCATGTGCCGGCCAAGTTTCTGTGAAAAGGCCCCAAAGACTTCCTGCAAACAAATCAGGTCGTACCGCGCCAGGTGCTCCACAAAGCGGCACAAACGCTCATCCTCGCTGCACATCGCTGCACGAGCTGGTGCTAAGCAACAAGGCTGCTCTCGGTCTTCGCCGGTCTTCGCTCGTGTCAGACAAACATTTCAAGCAACACCTGGATCATCGGCAAGAGTGAAGGGAGTCAGTGGTCACCCACACAGCTTCTATTCCAAAATATTCCAAAGAACAGTTTTGGTGAACCAAGAACGGTCACTCCCTCGCTCCCTCTCCCTCGCTCCCCTCCCTTGCTGACGATCCCCTCCGGCTTCCTTTCGGTCATCTTCATTGTTGTGAGTGAACTGTGGAGCAGGTGCCCTGAGTCGCGAGTTCTGAACGCCGGTTCGTCCGGTCGAACCGGAGGGAGGTGTGTTCCGAAGAATCCGCTCGTTCGTGGAGCTGGACGGGATCGCCGGGGTTTGAAAAGCTTCTGGAGTTTGATGTTAGACTCTGTTAGACTCGACTTGCACAAACATGTTCAGAACAACATCCGAGAGAGGTTGAGAGACCTGAACTAGGATCCTTTTTGTTGGTACATATGGGATGGGCGAAACAGGGCTGTTCAACCTCTCTTGGATGATCCCAAGTTCGATCCCACAACATGCAAATCATTCAGAGTGGCTCCCACGACATGCGCCAGGCCTCAAAAACAGATTGTATGATAGGAGCCGCATCACCTGAGTGGCTAATGGAACAGGAAATGGTCAAGCATGGATCGGATCTATGAGAGGAGGCATTGAAACAGCAGAGCATGAAACAGATCCAGTTATCAAATACGAGGATGTGCAAATACTTGCAGCATGTACATCTTCCTTTGTGTTCGAGTCACCTTGAAATTCCCAGTATCTTAGCCTCGATTTGGAAAAGGGTCCCGTCCCAGAAAAGCGTCCTCAGAACCTCCGGTCGTTAAATCGGTCCCAGAGCCACCGGCGGGAAGACCTCAGCGGAAATGCTTTCCGCCAGGCTCGGCCCAGAGGGTGGGCCAAAAGCAGCTGGATGAGGCAGCATCTCCTGGCACGAAACAGAGCTGAGACCGCACCAAACCAGGGGAGCCACGTAGGTCGGAAAGAGGCGGGCAGGCACTACAAGGAATTTATATATATATAATTATAGATAATTATAGCCGTTCTATGTTGCATGGAAGGGTTGGAACCCATGCTTTGAGTCTAGGCACGGCTACTACTATACTTCGGGAAATAAATGGAAATACCATGAAATACCATCATGATTTACCAGACCTGCGTTATTTGGCAATCAACAATCCAAAAGGAAATGGTTCTGGTTCTGGTGTTTCATGAAGGCCATTTCCAGCTGCAGCTTTGTGTCAGACACCTCACAGCCTTCGAAAAAAGGGTGGCGTCTTTTCGCCTAAGGAGGCGTCAGGCAAGGTAGAAGATCCCCCTTCTTTCCAGCACCGTGGTCCGGTCCAACTACATTCAGGCCGGAGCTGGATTGGTAGCAAATCACGGCTGGCCGTTTTGTGTTCAGGACCGGTCTGCGTTCGTCTACAGAGTTGCATACCTGGACCCGTTTCGATCTCGGTCGCCAGAAAACATGCCGGAGAAACATGCAGAATGTTCGCGATAGAAAACGTGACACCAACATGACGCAAAAGTGACCAAAACAAAGCAGAAGGAACATACATTGACACCAAACTTGTGTTGCTTTGCTTTTTTTGAGCTTCGCCTTACATTGTCCACGTCTTTTTGTGGTGTCTAGGCTTCATTCTGACACGCACTTTGTCGCAGTGTTGATGTGACCAAGTTGCTGGCACGTTCATTCACACAAATGCAGTGACTTTGCCTGCTTCCGCCTGCGCTTCAGAACATTGCTCGTGGTCTCTTTATGTCTCTTTTGTTTCTCTCATCGCATGGGTTCCCAAACCCTAACAAACAATCTTTGATGATGTGTGATCATGATAATGTAAACTATATATCCAAGAGTTTCAAAGGGGTGCGATCCGAGGAAGTCGGGGTGCCCAACTTCACATCCACTGGATGGGGTGTGTTGGGCACCACCCCGTCTGATCCCTGGATCACTTGTTGAGCCACTTGTTCCGTGGTCTCTCGGCCCCCGAGCTCCTCTGCGAACTTGGTTGGCACCACATGACTCAGGTCGATGCCATTGGACTTAGCCGGTTGCTTCGGGTAATTAGCCAGGAACTGCACCAGGAAAGCAACATTAAAGCAATTAAATCGCTAGCACATGATATGTTTTAGGTGTTTCTTGTCTAGACTAGACTTGGTGTTTCACATTGTTTTGTTGATGTTGCACCCCAACACCAGTAGCGCCGCAATGGCCTTGCACATCCTTGCACACAACCCCTGCAGAATGGCACTCTTGTCTAGTAATTGCACGTCACGTTAGAAGGATTTGTGCATGGGACATTTTCAGACCGTCGCACGCCTGGATGTAAACCAGCCAGCTACCTGCCGTACCTTCGCACTCTCTCTCATCTCTCCCTTTCCGACTGCTATCCTTTCCACCCCCTGCCCTAATCTTGGCCCTGAAACTGGTCGCCGACCAAGACGATCCACGAAAACAGGTTTCGCCACATCCCAACATGTTTCGGGCTCTTTCATCGCAGAATTTTGTCCGCATCAGTGATCCTCCTTGAACAAAACTGACATGACAAAGGCATACAAAGGCAACAACCTCATCGTCATCCTGTGTGTACCACCCCGCAATACACCAACAGTCACAAACACGTTGATTTCACAATTTGTTTCTTGGCAAAAGCACCTGCATTGACCTCCACGGTCTCCGGACCTTTCTGTGAAAACGCTTCAGTCTGGGCGAGAGTGGCTGTCAAGAACTTCCAGGCCATCTGTTGACAGCTCCGTGCGCTCGCCAGCGCCTCCCGGCAGGAGTCCACCTCCAAAGGCTGCTGCCGAGCACTCGAATCCTGGCTCGGCAGGGGGAAGTCGTGCCAGGCGGCGTTTAGAAGTACTGAGTACATGGATGACACGTGCATGGACTATATGGGAAAAGCTACTTAGGGCGAAGCATGGTCCGCAGCATGGTTGCAATTTTGTCTTATACCAGTTTCAGTAACTTCCAGTTGAAAGTGGGGAACTGTCGCATTCAGGTTACTACGGGCAAGTCTTGAAACATCTTGAAGCAGTGTCGCATAGGGCATGTGCAAGTGGCACCTGTCTTCGTTCAATATGCATGACGGTCATTGATGGTCTATGTTAGTTTCGGTGGGGTATACGCCGTGGGCATATCCCATGTTCTGGGGATCAGGCAGCAAGGCTTTGATTATAGATCAAAGTTCTGGGGATCCGCTGATGTCGCCCACCTGGAACACCTCCACACCGCTGGTTTGGAGAAAGTCTGTCTAACATGGTCTAACTGGTTTCTATTGGGTCTGCATGTTTGTATCACGGGGGGAGCCCTTCCAAAGATGGGAAACGGCACCCCTAGCATCCCCTAGCTGCACAAAGCTGCAAGCTCGATCCATCTGATGGCCCAGCCGGAGCTTGAGTGGGAAGGCTGCCCAGCCGAATTCGGCGGTTCCTGGATCTGCAGCTTGCACTCCAGAAGCTGTGGCAGAACCGTCTCCAGTTGCTCTCTCAAGGAGTCCTCGGTCCCAAGTCGGCCGTTGGGGAGGGCGGGTGTCGTTCGTTGGCAGGTCCGATGCCCCAAACAGTGGTTGATGATCCAACAGTTAGAGGTCATGCCTAGCCATGCCTTCAGTGGCTGTTGGCCTTAAACATACTGTGTATTTAAAATGCTACGTGTGTGCAAAGGGAAATTGATAAACTTAAAAGGGGAAGTGACATTTGTCACCGGGTCGTGCTTGGTGAAAAGCCAATACATATAGTATATACCTGGACCTTCCGCTGGTGAAAAATTTTAGTCGTTTGTTGAAATTGATGTTTTTTTAGTCGTTTCCCTAAAATTTGGTCGTTTCCCCTGAAAAACGTTTTTTCACCAGCGGCTCATCATGTACATGCATTATTGCCACATGGGTGATTCATGCAAATGGTGTCTCCATCATCCCTTTTCCATGTTCAACCCCGGCCATCGCGAATCAAACGTTGCATGAAGCGTTGGTGGAGAAACTTGCTCTTGATAAGGTAAAGATCCATCACACGCTGTGATGTCAGCTTCGCACTCACTCTCCTTGAGAGCCTGCACACCTTTCCAATCATGTCCTCGTTGCCCGAGCATTCCCAAAGAATTGGCGAAGTAATTCGGTCATGCTGAGCAGCTAACTGAGTAGCCACATCCACAGCTGTGTGTTTCAGCATGTGAGCCTTTGGCTTGATGCCATAACCAGCCATTCGCAGATCACTCAAGCAAATGCGCGCACACTCATGGTATGCTTCCAAGAATTTTTCCATGGACTTTAGAAATGCACCTGCGCAGCATCGTGTCCAAAAAACACCATGGGAATAGTACTGCTGCTGGCATGTGTTAGCATGCTGGGCTGCCACATTCATAGCACGAAGTAGAGCCACATCATTCTGGTCGAGCGGATTCTGCAGTAGCCCTCCTGTGAAGACATGAAGCCACTTCACCAGCAAGGCAGTGTCGCTACCTTTTGAGTTGCTCCAGGGAAACTTGCTCGCCGTTTTGGCATTTAGGAACTCCTTCGTAAAGCTTCTCAGAGCAGCTGTTTGAGATGTAGTTCGGCAATAGAAATGAAATTGCGCATGCGCGCGCTTCAGCAACACTGGCATGTTGTTTTTCTGTCCAGTTCCATCTTCGTGAAAATATCTCATTCGGCACAAAATGACAATGCAAGATCCACTGAAGTCCCGGAGTAAGCCCAAACGAAGATTATGAAACATGTCCCTTCTTAGGATCTTCTCTGGGCATGCTGGGTCGAAGGGTATTGAGAGAAAAGGTGGGTGACCATGGCCTCTCTGTGAACTCGGTGCCGCACCAGGCGGGGATGGCGGAGATGATGTCTTCGAACGGGCGTTGTTGAGTTCCAGCCCGACATTCGTGGCACATCTCTACATTAATGGCGGTGACCCGGTTGAAGCACCTCTCCAAGTAGGAGATGCGTTGAAACCATTTCAGGTCTCCTTTCCATCCAGTCACTGCGACTCGATAGACACCATGCTGTGAGTTGACTCCCTGGAAGAACAGGTCACTCAAATCCTCAGCTATTTTCTCGATCAATCCATCCAACAACTCTTCAAGTTTGTAAACCTTGTGTGGCAAACAGCACATGTGTGGCAAACAGCACAAGAGAAACTTGGTCAGAAAGCTGTGCTGTTTGAGGTTCGATTCCAAAAAATCACAATTGCAAAGCTCTCTATTGTAGTGGTCTCCCGGCTGTAAGCGAAACCTCTTTGCACATGGTTCCTCAAGAGTGCACCCGCATCCATTGCCTGGTCGTTTTCTTCCAGCTGCATGAGCATAGGTGTTCAAGCCAATGTTGGGCTCCAGAGTTATCACACAGGTGTTCCCTTTTTTGAGGCCTCGCCCCTCATCACCGTGCAAGCACATTGGCACAATCCAAGCCCAGTCATCTGGATTGGGATAGTAATGATAAATTCTGTGCGAAGGATGGAACAATCGATATTTCTCCCAGAACGATTTCAGGAAGGACCGGCCAATCTCAAAATCAGGTGAACCCCCAAGCACCAAGTCCGGAGTCTTCTGAACCAAGTGCTGAAAAAAATCTTTGGGTGATATATATGGCACCCGTTCCACATGTTTGCCACCAATTTCATCTTCAACTGTGTGCTCAAACATCAGTGATTGGGATGGGGGGGGGGTTGGCTCAACCAGATCTCCGGCCCTTTCTGAACCCAGATCTTCCAAAGAACTGGAAACTTCCACTGAAGATTCTTTGGGTTCCCCTGCCACTTGTGAGGGAATCATGTATGGATCCAAAACTTCAGCATCTGTGGGCTCTAAAGGATTGGAACCATCATCCTCACCCTCCTGGCGATCAGCCGCCACTGTAGGTGCAACCGTGGATTCATCAGCAGCTGGCGTGGAACCATCAGTTCGGGCACCAGCGGGCGAAGAGGGGGGCGCACCACCTGCAGCTGTGGATCCATCAGCTTCAGTTGGACCATCAGTGGGGGCACCATCAGCGGCGGCACCATCCGTCCAAAAAATCTCCAAGATCTGAAAGAAGCGCTCCAAAGCAGGTTCCTTACATCCCCAAATCCAAGTATCACTAGAGGTAGAGAGTGAGGTTTCCAGTACTACTACAATACCATCAGTTTAGGCTATTCGATAAACTGTTTATAAACTATCAGTTTGCCAGGATTTGCCCAGGGTCTCGTGTAGCAGCCCTGCTCGAGAAGCGCCGCACACCATGCGAAAACAGCTTCTTGAGTCCAGACGCGTCTAAATGCATCATGCAAGCGTCTTCGGGCCTTCCAAGGATTTTTCGAAGCATGGTAACCTTGCAGGGGCTTGGCGGTGGTCAGGACGACAGCGGATCCCCTTTCCATAAGATCTGTTAGTTCAACTAATTGGTATGCAACCCTTTCTGCACCACCTGTGCATGTGATTTACAATCCTGGCCCCTCCTGTATCCAACAAAAGTTTTTCAGTACCCAACAAAACTTCAGAACTCTTTGATGCAAACTTGGATGCCTCCCGTCTCATGAAGTCAATGGGAATTGTCTTGGCATACGGTGTTTTTTGGCACCAATGCTCAGCAAGGATCTCCAGCGCACGTGCATTCAATCTCATTGCTTTCACTGATTGGATGCCCACTGTCTTCTCGTCTGGCCAGTTCGTGCACCGGTCATGAAGACGGAAGCTCTCACGTATGGAGCGATCGGCCTCTAAGGCGATCGCCACTACACCTTCATCAGGCCACAGGCCGGGGTTGACCTCCTGGTCAACGGACTCGAGGGTGTCGGTCGACATGATCACTGATCCACTTTCAGTGAACGCGAGTTTGGGATGGTTAGAGCCAATAGCTAACAACAAAAAACAAACAAGTACTTGATTGTTGCAGTGACTACCCACGAGATTGGGCATGCATGAAATGAAAGTTCACAGAATGTACTGCATACTTCTTTCTTGCATAGATTGTTTTTTAATTAAGCACGTGCCTTCTCAACAGTTCATGACACTTCTACATGGCATGCAGGGGTGCAGCGCACCTTCGATTGGAAAGCCTTCATGTCTTCATGAAGAGAGTACCTGCGATGATGCAGGTGGTCAGTTCACTGTCCACCCTGTGCAGGTGCACGAACCTGCAATGACGCTTGAGCTGTTCCTGAAAAAATCCGGGCGCACATGGCCGCGAGCATTTCTTGAGCGCATGGCTCTTGCGGGCGGGTGTTGGCACGATTTGGAGTTGGTACATCTTGATACCCTTTGAGACCAAGAGTGGGATACCAAAAGCTTGTTAACATCTCTTACCTCAAGTTCGTTAGAGCATACTAAAACAGAAGGGATCCTTTGAGAACCTGATTGTGCTTGATAATCTATGAAATCTGGGTTGATGGGAGCTAGAAGGACAGGTCGAAGCGAGCACACTCAGACAAGACCTCAAGAATCAAAAAACGCCGTCAGGCAAAAGCTTCTGCAATGTCAACGAAAAAATGTGTTTTCCAGAAACTACTAAAATAATAGTCGTTAGGAAGTCCTAGGTATATATATATATATTCAACTGCATGAATTATAGCATAATATAGAATATAAAAACTGTACTATCCTTTACTACCCGCGCACTCGGACGTCCACGGGAAACGCGGATTGAGTGTGTTACTCCACCGCAAATGAAGCAACTAAAAGGACCCCCCTAGACAAGTCAAGTATATATATATATACAGTATACATCAGCGGATATCAGCGGTAAATCTATGCCGGTCCCGTAGAGCCTTTGGGCCTGCACTGGAAAATGCTGTTAGGGCATGCTGCAGATGCACCAAATCGCTGCAGTACTAAGGGCGGGTGAAAGTTCATCTCA